AGAGTGTCATGCTTTTGTCATGAGGACCTCCTTGTAAAATTTGCCGCAAATCGCCCTTGCATGCCCTTTGCCTCCTACCGCACCCTGCGCCCAGGCGCGGAAAGAGGCGCGAGACCGGAGATGCACGGAAACTTTTCAGTCGGTCGACCGAAAGAAGAAAAGGCAGTGGCATCCAGTAAAGCCAGTGGATGCCGAACTTTCTTCCCTTCTATTTCGGGTGCTTCAGTTCAAAGATCACTTGGATCAATCCTACCTGAGTTTCGCTTGGGCGGGGTAATGTTTCAAGGGGACACACAAGGAACCAAGTCTTTTCATATGGGCGTCTCTGAATCAGACGTTGAACGGCCAGGTGTCCCTCTCAATCCCCTGGTTAGCCACCGCAAAAGAAGCCTTTCAAACGACAACCATTTGCTTCGGGCGGGGATCCTTTCAAGATGAGAAAAAGAGCCCAAGCGAGCAAGTCGATTTGCTCGCCATGCCAAAGGTTGACACTCCTAAGACCTGAGTCGTTCAGTGGCTCGCTGCAAATCCCAATAGTTAACCCCAAAAAGGGTTCCCTTACCCCCCCGCGTTAGTAGCCCCAAGACCCCAGGAAGGAGCATAGCAGTATTGGTAGCCTTGCTGCACGTGCTTGGAACGTACAATCTGGATACAGGGGCGCTTTGTGGGAGTTATCGACTTCAGGAACTATGGGGCCAAGCCTTGCTCACGGCAGCGATTCTTTTGGGGGTGAGGGGTCAGTACGGTTGGAGGCTTGCTGTGGGAGGCGGGGCCAACAAGAGTTCAAGGATCTCCTTTGAACCAATTGTTTGTTCGCCAAGTGTGGTCAGGACTCAAACATCTTTGTTTATGGGCAGGAAGCTGCCATTTTGTTTGGGGCAAACGCTGAGGCAAGGTCAACGGCTAAACCAGAGGTGCCACTGAGGGAGTTCTCGGATCCAGGAGGATGCTTTGCTGGCGTTGGCGCTGGCCCCAGAAGCGTCGGCCACAATCAATCACCTTGGTAAATGAAGACTCAGATACATGAGCAGACTTAAACCAAAGATGGTTGTCCTTTAAAGGTAAGTTGTTCCTTTAGATTCTCGGGAAAACGCAGCACCTGAGGGGAAATTACCCACCAGATAAGAGTGGCTGGATCCAACAATATTTGTTTGGGAATTTGAACCTAGCAGAACTGGTATGTGTCAAAATATGTCGCCTCTGAACTTGGCGTGCATTTGACATCAGATGCTATGGTGCCCGTTGACTGGGCAAAGCAAAAATCAGATAAAAGCAGTCCCAACCAGAAATGGGTGCATTAAGAAGACGTGTTTGATTCTTCCCCATATTATTCTGCGTGGACGATGCCTTCAATAGGGATATTGTTTCAAACCAATAGGGACAGAATCAAACATAGAATAATGACTTTGGGCAACCGCTGAGGTGGGAGATAGCAGTCAAACACAAATGGCTGAACATAGTTGCTTGTTTCAGCCACCAACCAGCAACAAGTCAGCACGTTTGGCGTTTTGGGAAAGAGTTGGGGAAGGGTTTGAAGGAACGTGGGGGGGGGGTAGCAGTGGGCTGGCAGATCAGACCTCGGCCGCAGTGCTCGCTGCGGCAATACCCATCATGGCCCACTTGTGCCAAGGCATCAAAGAAGTCGTGAGAAACTTGGCACGGGTGATTCTGCAATGGAAGGGGGACGGATCGTGGTATCCCCTAGTGTCTTGCGCCCAGTCATGGAGTTGTCCAATTTCAATCCCATGAATTTAGATAGAAAACCCACAAATCCCCACCTAAATGGTGTCCAAACGGGCCCTATTAAAACTCATACAAGTGTCTTACTTTGCATTTTGCTCAGCGGCTGCCTGTTGCATCCCAGTTTTGTTCCAGCTGGAACGGCCACTGAACATGCCATCAAGCGTCCCCTTCTTTCAGGGTCCCTATATTTCCCTTTTAGGTGGTTTAAGCAGGTCAGAGCCCTCCTGCGACCCCCTTAAAGGTTCCTTTCAGCCATAAGGACAGGACTGGACCATTGGATCACTGGTCCCAACGGAGAAACATAGTGAAGAACCATAAGCTTCCATTTGAACACTCACACTCCCCTTTTTCCGTTTTGTTTTTCGTGTGTGTTTGATGTTTTTGTTCTGGGGGCGGGGCGGGGAAGAATTTGTTCTGAATTTGTTGGCACCGAGGCGGTGAAGACCGAGGAAGCGGAGTTCTCCAGGCCGTTGAACCCCGAGCGAATGGTTTGCAACTCCGTTTTCCGGTGAGTCAGTGGAGGCGTTTTGTTTCACCGGAAAAAAAAGACGAGTGCCCCCTTTCTTTCCCAGGGTGGGATCGCAAGGGGTTTCTCCCCACTTCTGTGATACTTTTGGGAATCCGTTTTATGAACAAAATAGTTTTTGGGGTTAGGCCCTTTTTGTTGTATCACAGAAGTGGATTCCATTCCCCACAGCCCTGTTCTTTCCCCAGAATCCGGTCTGGAATGGGAAGCCAACCGGACCGGCCGGACCACTCGGCCAGGTCCTCTGAATCCTCGGAGCCGGAAGAGGCAGCGAGCTTGCGGGTCGGCAACTCAGGAAACAGGGGTGTGGGCATTCTCCAAATGTGTTTCTTTTTTATGTTTTTTAATGTTTAGTAAAAACTAGTTTGTTTTTGTTTTTCTCGAGGAATGCCAACATGGTTGTTTTCCTCTTGGATTCCCTTTAAAACCACAAGAAAGGGATGCCCTCAACGAAAGACATGAAAATAGGGAGTGAGAAAGCGATGTGTTTCCTTTTGGTTCCCTTCAAGACCATCCAAAATGGGGGGTTCCTATTTTTGAGCAATCCCCTCTAGCAACAGCTCCCATTTTAGAGCAATTTGTTCACTGTTGCTGACTTTTGCGGAGAACCCGCCCCTGAGAATGCACGAGGTTGATTACTCCGGGCTAGATAAGATATACATATATATATATACATACATATATATATACACATTGAAATTCAATACCTGTGGCTTCCCGGCGTGTACAATTTGTGTTATTGGGAACCAACTTCGGATTCCACACATTGTTGCAGACTTGTTGCTCTCTTGTCACTCCCCGAATGAATTGGAGACCCAAAAGACAGCGCTTGCACGGGGATCTATGTCCACCAGAAGGTTTCCCAGAAAGCACCAAAGAATCGTGCAGTCAGCCAACTTGTTGTGCCAACCAACTCTAGTGGGCTTTCTAGTCATTGTCTCTTGCACGTGACACTGGGAAGGTCCGTGTCAAGACCATCGGTCTTCTGTGGGGTCTCCCAACCCCCGAAGGCCCATCCCAAATTTCATGCAGCTTGGGTGATGCGTAGAAAGGTCATGTTCACCCCATATGAATCAACCGGTGTTTCTGGGTTTCGTGGGGGAATCATCACATTCTTGAGGGGAACATCCCCTATTCATAAGCAGGGTTGCTTCATATGGGATCAACAGTACCCATAGGTTCTGCCTCTTCCTTGCTATTTGGATCCGCAAATTGAAGTCACCTGTTCTTTTCAAGAATGGCAACCGGGGTGACGGTATCACTTGTAAGGAAATTGTTTGCTTAGCACATCGCTTGAATGCAGGTTTTATTTTACCAGATAAGAGCATTAACTCCTTCGTGGGCTTGGGCTGCGGTTTGTTTGAGGTGACAGCTTGCCCCGATCTTCAGAGTCCAGAAATTGGACCTGCAACTCAATCACAAGCACTGCACAGGCTCGAGTCCTCAACTAAGTTCTCGCAAGTTCTTCAACCAAATCAGTTGCCAGCCAATCCAAATCAAGTATCATCATAGCAATCTCACCTAGCGGGCAGAACGAGCTTCCCATGATGAAGTGTCCCTCTAAGGATTCCCGAATATGGTAATTCGTGGATGACCATGCTGTAGGCCATCATGGCTTCCTTTATGGGAGTCTCGTGCATCGCTTATTTTGTTCTAAACAAAACTCAATTATGATAGACGTCCGTGACCGGCCCTACCATCCTCAAACCAAGGGATGTGTTGGCCATGGCCACCAAAAACCCTCGGCGGGCCAGGAGCAACGCCTGGAGGCCAGCAAGGAGGGGATTTGAAAAGAACATGGTTCTCAGCGGTTGGAAGTCGGAGCCCCAAGAAGCCCTCCGTTCTCTCGCCAACATCTCTTGATCAAAAGGTCCCACTGGGATGCCCATTGGTAAAACCATTCAGTGGGATGATATTTGATCTCTGGAAGAACATGATCCCTGGTTGAAATATCATCAGTTGGTTGAACATGGTTGAAACAGATGATACTTCAACCACTCAGCGGGGAGTTGGTAACGAGGGCCTTTGAATTGAACTTCTGCCCAAAATGCAATCTCTTTCGAATCCTGTTCTCCCACCAAGTCAAACGGGCCTTTGTGAAAGACGGGTGGGGCGCACTTCGCCCAAATCAACCGAGAGACCAGGAACCAAAGGAGTGGCTCGTTTTTTTTTAGCAAGCCATGGGATCTCCAAGTGGTTCCGGAGGCAACGAGCACCGTGGGATGTAAATGGAACGGGAGCCTTTCAACAAGCCCAGATGCTAGCCCTATCCAGAAAATTGTAACCATCAGAATAGGGGCGCCCACCGCAATTCCGGACCTTCCAGAACCTTCCAGAACCTTCCAGAACCTTCCAGAACCTTCCAGAACCTTCCAGAACCCTCCGGAACCCTCCGGAACCCTCCGGAACCCTCTATCAATAGCGGTTGATTCCTCCGGGGTCCACATTTCTTGGTTGAGTTTTCTTATGTTTGGGCCTTGATTTTGGGAGGAGACTCATGAACCCCAGGGATTCCCTCTGGATTTTCGGGTAGATGAACCATAAAGCAACAAGTACAGGTCCCCGGGTAGTACCCTTTCTCACCCCTTTTTTGGGGGAGGGTTCCCCTACTAAAATAGACTACAAAAGAAAAAAAGTGTACCCTTATTTAACCTGTCTACTGGAGGACCTAGAGTATCTTTGTTTGTGTGGCGCAGTGGGCCAAGCAGCTGTCAGGTGGAGCCGGGACACTATGTTCGGCTCCTCCAGCGCCCGGAGGATGCCGTGTGCCCTGTTGGGCGCCCCAAGCGCTGCGGGGTCTGGCTTCGTTTCACCAGGGTCCCCAGTCATTGCCAGATTTGGCTATGAATTTTAATGGAGAGGACATGAATCCCCACCTAAATGATGTGCACCAAATGGATCCCTAATTAAAGTTCTCACCCATTTGACTAATTGGGAAACTTCTCAAAATGCCTGTCCCCTTTTTGGATGGTTTCAATCAAACCCATGCACAGCCTCTTTTTGCTTAACACCCATGTTGTCCGTTGGCCCTTTTTGAGCGTCCTTGGTTTTCCGCTTGACCAGCCAAACCAGCTCGAGGCGTCAAAGTCTCGCCAAGAGAGTGTTGGCTTGAAATTAGCGGCCGCATAGTGTAGTTTTTGTTTGCGCCATCAGGTGAAATTGGCGTGCCAGAAATGGTGCAGAATCGAAACATTATTTTTGAACAGCCCTTGACTCAACTTGAACATTTGCACATTAGTCAATATTGATGACTATATGTCATGGATAGCTCTATTTTTTCCCAGTTTTTTTGTGTCCCGTTTTTTTTGTTGTTCCTTTTTTTTGAAGAATGTTGCACACGGAATGTTTCGTGATGTGTGTTGAATGTTGTCGCGGCCCTGTCTTTAAGGCACTCAAGCCTTTGTAGCCAAATGCCCAGGGCGTTCTTAGACATGCACAGATTCTGCAGAGGAAGCCTGCTTAGTTGGCAAGATTCGAAGTGTTTGTCGGGCCATTGTAGGCTTCTTGATATTGCAAACAACAAGAGTTGAGACTCTTTCTGGGCCTTCGTTGACAGACAGTGAAGGCTGCACAATAAGGATTCCACTAGGGTTAGGCAGACTGATCTTCCCCCAAACCGACCACTCGGCCTTTTGGCTCCGTTTTGATCCATGTTTAGCTCAAGGGCATTTTCACATGGGTGTTGGGGTCATAACAGTTAATTTTGTACCGCTTGTACAGGCGGTACACACTGCATAGCTTGTATAAACATCCATGCCTCCAAGGCCTATACCTGGAATTGTGAAGATTTCAATAAAAATGACCCGGGGGGATTTCGACCCCTGGAATTTCATTGTTGTGTCCATCTTCCCTTTTATGGGAGACAAGGTGAATGGAACTGGGTCCCGGACCCCCACCCCGCTTTTCGACTGGGCCTACCTGGGTCTTGTGGAGAAGTGAACAAAGGAAGGCCCCGCGTTGAAGGGCGGATTTGGCATAAGGTTGCCTTCCACTCACTCCGTAGAGGCAGAGGTCATTTCCAGTTGAAGCCACTTAGGCAATCATTGGGCTTGACGCACTTCAGGTTTTGCCTGGCTTGAGCAACTCGGAAATTGTGGTTTTAAGAGTACTCCTTGGGCGTTCAAACCTGAAGAAAACCATCCGTTTTAAGCGTTCTCCTACTTGACAGGCAAAATGTGGGACCCCCCTCCCCCCCAAAAAAAACTGTGGTTTTTCATTTGGCTTCTTTTTAAAGCCAGCCCCACCACGGGTACCTGCCAAAAATAGACAGGCCCATCTTGACCGGCGCAGGTAGCCTGTGCCACCTCCGCGTCTCGTCCGCCGAGGCCACGCGCGCGGAGGCGGAGCGCCGCGTGCGCGCAGAGCTTCAAGCACGGCTCAAGGTGCCGGCTCAGAGAGCCGAAGCGGTGGATTTGAGATTGTTTCGCTGGGCGGGGGAATGAGAAGACGTTTTTAGGATGGTGACATGGGACATGGGAAGGGGATTGAGAACATGCTTTTAGCATTGAGAACATGTTTTTTTTGTTTGATTCCCTTGAACGATGGGGACATCATAACTTGATTCAGCACGGAAGCAAATTAACCCAATCCGTGGGGCCTATTTCCAGTTGGTCCTCTTTTTGGGTGTGCTTAAGGGTGAAACCAAAGAATTACCTGTCCATTATGCAGGTTCCAGATCCTATCTTGAGACAAGCCCAAAGGGCATTGATATATTGAGAATCCCTGCTGGAATCCGCAGGTTTTAGTCTTTGGTTCCATTTACCAGGGTTCCCGAAACGGTTACCTATTTTTGACCCACAGCCAGTGGCCAACCTCAAACTACCCTAGTCGTCCTCGTGGGACTTGGCCAAATGGGGGGGGGGGGGGGGCGATTCCCGACTTCATGGGATTCCATTCGTTGACAAGTAAGCCGGGTATCAAAATCAACCCGAAGCTTGCTGGGGAAACCCATTAAAAATCTGACTCCCTCCAAAAACCCGCCTTCTTGTTGGGTTGGTATTTTTGGAAAACCAGGACACCATAGAACATACATCCTTTTTCAGTTAGAGGTTAACATCATACCCCCTCATAACTTGACAACAGTGGGCATTGAGTGTAGGGGGAAGACCCCTACAGCTCAGAGTTTTGGGTTACGACTGGATTCACCCAGGGTGAAGGTTCCCAGGGGTCTAAGCGCTGCGGCACTGGCATTCTGAAGTTATGATTTGGCAACCTTTTTTTGTGATTCTCGTGGCAAGTCCGGATGTCCCTAAGTAAAACGCAGCCACTGCGATGGACATCCCACACTGCGGTATGGCAGAAAGCCAGCGGATGATGATGAGTTCCCTTCCAGAGATCAATCGATCTGTCTATAAACCTGTGCCTGGTCCGGCTCGGTCCACTCCCCTGCAATGGGCCGGTTTCGTTTTGTTCATCCCTAGACTATGAACCGTAAACCACCGTGCAGATGAAGGGCACGGGACAAGTCCAGCCAGAAGTAGGTGCGGATCGGATATCGGCCCTGGTGATCCTGCACATTAGTTTCGGGTTTTATCAGATTTCCAACAAAACACGGAAGCTGGCAACGGGGTTTTGTACGACTACAGTCCTCTTGAAACGGCCCCGTGCCCACTTTCATGATTGTTGGAAGGGGATCAAAGTCAGGGGCCTTTGGCCATTCGAAAGGCACCCGACACTTGTCAGATGCAGGGTTCCAATTTTTGGCTTCCCCAAGAAGACTTAAATCCGTGATTCCCCTTTTGGGGTAATGAACCACCTCTGGGTTTAAGTCTGCCCTGGGGTAGTCAAAAAGTGGAACCCTGGTCAGACTGGTAGAAAGAGGGTATGACTTCAATGGCAACCCAAACGGGACCCGCTCGCCAGGAGGAAGAACCTAGTCTCGCCAAGACCGGGGCGAGTACGGAACGCAGGTTAATTCCCCGCTTTAGCTCGTCTTTACTGGCTTGAACCCCAGAGATGCCGTCAGACTTGTAGACCTTGGTGCTTGGGTTGGTGACGTATCCCACGAGTCAGGGAGCAGCCTACTGTGACTGACCCTTGATAAACCTGTCGAACTGATGGGGTCGTGTTTCCCTAAAACGGGACGGGTCCCTTCCAAAATGGGACACCCGCCCTAGCAGTTTGTCAATTCTGGATTTCCACCTTTCACCTTTCAACCATTTTGGCCAATGATTGCTTCCCCACTGCCTCTGAAAGAGCTTCAACACCCTCTTTATAGGGGGTCCCGTGTTCATCAAGTTGGAAGATAAACCCTGCAGCAGGGTTCCTTGTATATCCTCTTTAAACATTACGCACCAAAGGTAAATCCACTTGCAACTGGCCAAACAAATTGTAAGGCTTCAACTTTGTGGGTAAGGCCAATCCAGTCAGGTGCACGGGAGACCGGAATCTAACGGCAGGAACGTGTCAGCCCCTCAAAAGCCTTTACAAAGGGATGAAGTCTTTACGCCAAGAGTACAGGTTTGATAAATCTGTTTTACCTAAGTCGTAGTTGTAAGCAACTTCGACTGAACTTGAAGACATATCAACCAAAGTGGCGCCCATAGCAACGACCCCCCCGCCCCACACCTTCAATGAGACAGATTCCCGAAGGTTCCTAAGCAAGTAGGGTACAGCAAACACTACTTTGTTGGCATGTGCTTGCACTCGCATGTAGGGACTCAGCAGCACCGCTGAAGTTGGCAACCTATGCCAGTGGAACCCACTTCGCATTGGCAGCTATGCCGCCTGCACCCGAAGCGATCGCTTGTTTGCTTGTGGGACATTTTTCAGATGGCCCGCTAGGCTCACCATGCACCTGGCTTTGCAGGTCAAAGAGCCCATGCCAAGTCACCAGCCACAAATGGGTGTGAGACAAAACCCATGGTACCATTTTCGGGTAGGTGCACCACCCATTTTAGTCGATTTTAGTGGGGATTGGGATGTTCACTGGGGGTACGGGCTTTTGACCCATGGCCAAATTACTTGGCTGCTTTTCGGATGAACCTTGAACCTTTGGGAAGTCTACCGATTTTCCGCTCAGCCACTCAAACTTTGTTGGGGGGTGGAACCAGCCACCTTACGATGTGGCACCAGCGGGGGATTCGTGCTACAGCTTAGTTCTCACGATAGAAGAAGGTTCACCCCGATTGTGGCTGGCTATTAGAGGGCTGTGCCCAACAAGTGATTCGGATCCGATTAAAGGGGGTAACCCGCCATTGATCAATCGGGGATTTACTTGGGGGCGTAATTGGGACTTTAAGCGGCCAACATGAAACTGACACGGTCCAAACAAAGGCTTCATCCTATTTCTGACAACCTCCTTTTTATCCCCCAGGAAATGTTCGAAAATATGTAATTAAGCATGCACTCAGAACACTATGTGCACACGTGGCTTCTTAGGGGGGTTTGATGGCCCAGCTTCCTTCGTGTGCCGTTAAAGTGTTAGCTTTGTTTTGCTGACTCGCAGAGTCAGGATTGCTATCATTTCACCACAGTAGCCAGGTACTAAGCTGTTTTCTTTGTGTGATCAGGGGGCGGGCTGCCCTTTCTCCCACATTATGTTGACCATCTGCAGAAACAATGAGCTTTCCTCCAGCACTTGTTGTTTGCAGCTTGAGCGAAGCCTACATGTTCAGCAGTGGCATCAGCCACTCAGACGCTCCTGATTTACTTACGGCCCTCTAATAGTCAGGTTCAAAAAACCCTAGGCAGGGTGTCCAATGGGGTCTGTGCAATTCCTGTGCCTGGCTTCGTATTCTCACCTTCCAAATCCTTGCGAGGACTCCTATGGTGGTGCCGGCTCGCATCAAGGCTGGGGCTTGTGTGTTGGGGTGCGTGACGTGTCCTGAGGCTACCCCCTTTGCTCCCCCTTGGAACCCTCCCGGTTGGTCCAAGAGGGTGTGTGTCAAATAGGGGACTCTGAAAATTGACTGGGGTGTTCCTTCAATTTCCCTTAAGAACCAACCTTACACGAGTACTTTCAAGAAACACATACCCAAACAAGATGTTTCGAGGTCAAAGGCAGCCTTGGGGTTGACTTCCTAGGGTTCCTGGCCTGTAGCCGAAACTTGGTGAAGGCGAGTTTCTGGTTTTCCGGGGATAAATGAAAGCGGTGAACAGGAAGTGAGACGCCGAATCCGGAACAAACCCTTGAATGCCTTCCCTTAGCAGCCTGAATCTTCCAAATTATGGGCATTTAACGCACAATTCGGTGAGTACCACTTTCTTACGGGTCTCAGTGAAGAAGCACGGAGTTTCCAAACTCCTAGTTTCTGAGGTACAACTGCTAGAAATTGATTGTCACTCCTGGAAATGGGTTTGCACCCGTGAAGCCCCCCAACAAAAATAAACAATATTCAATTATTCGGTACTTGCAGCCCCAATTCAGACATATTCAGAATCAAAATGGTTCACATGAATCACAATCAATTATTCAGAGTTCAGAAGTTTTCAGAATTCAAACTTATTCATATATTTTGCTCTTTTGGGTGACACATTGGCGAAATTGTAAAGCACCACACTCCAAACTCAGCGCAAAAAGCAAGCAAACGCCCCGCAAACTCCCGCAAAACCCTGGACTATACACTCGAGTACAGACATAATTGATGGGATAGTGCACAGAGTCGTATTGTTGCGGGCCCAAACATCGAGAAACGAAACAGACTGCTCCAATTGCTTCCGCCAAGAAACTCGCCTAGTTTTGAGTTTCACTCCTGCCTTTTGCAATCCACTCCTGCTTTTTTGCTTTATGCATTTGAAACACCTGAAATTCCTGGGTCTCCTTGAAGTAACCCGGAGAACAGACACACAGAGAAATAACCCGCAGACGGAGGACCCAGCAGGACATGAAGTTTTGCGCCTTTCTACGTGTTGCAACCAATCCTTTGTTCATGTTTCCCCTTTGTGGCAACCAAAGGATCTCCCCCCCAGCAACACACCACCCAGGACATGTGGCCATTGTAGTAGTGAAAGGTTGCAAAATGGGTTTCGACGACAAATTTCTGCTCCCATCAAAAACCACTCGACTGAGGCCTCCAAGCTGGAATGCGAGCGCTTGGCCCGGCAGCAGCTGCAACAGCTCCTGGAGGAGTGCGCTGCATGCCGACTCGTCCGGTGGTTCTCGGAAATGTCTGAAGGTGTGAGCTAAGGTGCCGTAAGCGTCATTCTCCATGATCTGTTGTCGTCGTGTTGAAGGGGACGGAAGTCATCGGACCCTGCATTGGAGGGGTCTGGATCTGAAAGAATCCTGGGACCTCGAAACGGCGAAATCGGTTTGAGGCCCCAAAAACGAGACGTGTCGCTATGTATTTCTCTTTGCCAACCAAAAACGCCCAGACCTCCACGCTGCTTATCGACTTATCTCACCTTTTCGGTCTTCCTTGATTGTCCCGAACCCCATCAGCGTCAAATGTTGTCCTTTTGGGGTCGGATTGATGTGGCGCCCATTTTCACTTTGGAGGGGAACGCCCCTGAAGATCCTTCTTGAATTTAAGTAGCGAGCGCACCGTTTCGGCAGACGAGCGATTCCACCCATCATGAAGGCCATTTCGGGTTTCATGGATTTCTTTCTTCAGCCTGGTGAACAATAGTTTGCGCAGATAGTTCCAACCTGTCTGATGCATCACCCCAAGGAAAGTCTCTAAGTGATCCGATATGTGATGCTGCTCTCCGAAAGGGAATCTGCCCTTTTGGAGTTGGATTACTCTTCCTTTTGTCTGCTTTAACTGGAGCCAAAGGACAACCACCTATTTTGGGTGCGGTGCGGAGGCCCTTTCACTTTTGGGCCTGCATGATAATGTGAACATAGAATGGGTTGGTTCCCCATTCTTTTCGCCCATGTTTCTCTTCAGGAACCCATTTTTGCCGGCGATGAAGCATCCCTGAACACTACGGAAATGGAGGGAACGGCTGGGCTACTAATCAGACGACCCGCCCCCCCCCACAAAAAAAAGAGAAATAAAGAAATGCATCAAATAACATCCTTAGTATGTTTTTGGGCGACACGAGCGGTCAACATTTACCGTTTTCACAACCAATCAATACAAGCGACAAGTTCAGTCACGTATGTGACTTGGAGCTGAATGTTGAAGGATCGCAAATGAATTTGGCTAGAATTGGGCCCGTGTGAATGGCTTTCAATCAGAGCATGAAGCCCGAAGTCGACCACCCAAAACTTCTTGGGGCCCAAGCTTAAGAATACTTCCGCAAGACTTTAGGCAGAGGAACCCGGGGGGGGGGACAGCTTTAATTGGTGGTTGTGGTTGGTGGAGGCAGAGGTGGTTCCAGCTCAAATCCTCATGCAATAATCAGGTAGAAACAATTCGCCCAAAGGCTCACGACAGCAGGGCTTCGAAAAAGAGGCTATTTGAGGGCGGGTTGAAGTCGGACTTGCGCTAGAAGGGTCCAAATTTGCGTTTGGGCAGTGGCATATTCTATGTTGTTGAAGGCGGATTTGCATGGCTGATGTTTTGACCTAGATCTTCTATAGGCTTTTTTTTTGTGTGCGGCCCTGAAGAAGGATGCTTTCAGCGACACACTTTGGCCCTCATTCGGGGTTTGATTGCTTTCGATCCTCCATGCTTTGCATTTTGCCTTTCAACTGGTTGGAAAATGGCAATGTTCCTAGTTAATTACTAGAAAAAGCACTGTTTCTTTGTCGAAAAGGCTCAAAGACCCAGGGGTGCAATTGCAACCCTTAAGGGCGTGCAAGCTCCTTGAGGCGGTCTCTTTCTGTTTAAGCCAGGGGGGGACAGCAATGTGTCGCATTGGGCCCGCATGCTAAACTCCAGTTTTAGGGTGCATTGCTTGGGATTCACCCGAAAATTGCGCGTGGAAGCCTTGAGGGGGGACCGTTTTTGCGTCATGCCGAGAAATCAGGGGCTCAGTGCCCTATGAACCATCCCTTCCAGTTTTCCTTGAAGGATATTTTTAGGTTCATGCCCAAAACCCCCCACCCCCCCCCTCCGCCAGCCCCCCCCCCCCTCCCTTGAACTTCCCTGCTGATCACGTTGCCTTTTTTGCCTTTGCAGGAGGAAGGAAAGTTGCTGGAAGTTGAGAGGCTCCGTGCGTTCTCACGAAGCGAATGGGACCAATGTGCTTCCAATGTATGCGTCAAACTAGGGACTTGGACCCCCAAAATGCTTGGCTCCGCTCAAAGCAGAGCCGACAAGGGTACTCTCAAAAACACAGCTATTTCAGTCCATGTTGAGTCATGGTTCAACAAAGTTCGGCTGTTGTTGCCTGGCCCATGTGGGAGAAGTCATATATGGAAACTACAGCTCAGACCGCAGGGTGCCTGAATTGTCCAAAATCAGTCGTTCAACGCTTTCATGTTGTTTGTAGGAATTGGTTCATAGTGACTGAAACCACGAGAACAGTTTGCGTGTTGACCCAGAAAGGTGCTCCATTCTACCCATATATGTCGGTGTAGTCGAAGCACACCTGCAAAACATGCAACAATGTGTCCAACTATTCTCCACCCAGGAGCACAAAGACCCATGCAGTCAAATCCTATGCCAAACTGGTCACCGCCCGCTTGCCGGAAATGCCCATGTGGCCATGCTTGTCAATACCTGCACAAATTGCCTGTGAATTTCAACAGAGAACCACCTCAGAAGTGGTTGGACCTAAACGAGCCACAATCAAAACTCAGGTAGATGAAGGTTAATGAGGAACTGTCCAGCCAGAAACAGCTGCGGCCGCCTTTGTATTCCTGACATGGTTCTGGGTCCACCGTTTTAATACCGGGGTTCGATTGTGACTCAAATGATGTGAACCAAAGGGTCCGGGACACAGAAAGATCATGCCCATGTCAGTCCATGTTTTGTCAAGGTTCAACAAAGTTTGGCTTGATTGTCAAGCAAGAAAGTGACACACATTGCGTTTCTGTTCTTGGCATTTGTTTTGCAGCTTTCAGTTGTTCGTTCGTGTTTGCGCTGCAAAGGGCAAAGTTGTGTACACGCCAAGGACTGGACAGATCAAAATTCAGACGCCAGGCCAGGGGTCTAGCGATTCGCTGCTTCGCTCCATTTCGCCAGGACCAAAGCGGAGCAGCAGAAGGCCGGATCGAGCCCATTCGCGACATTTGGGTACTGCATACATTTGACCCATTTGGACATACATTTGACCCATACATTTGTTACATACATTTGACCCGCTCCATACATTTTTTGACTCGCTCCATTTGACCCGCAAGTATTGCGTACATGGAGTGGGATTGAACAGGGTGAAGAGTGGCCCCAAAAACTCGTTTTTACCATACTGGGAGTGGTTCCTGTTTGAGATTTGGTACTGAAAGGAGCGGCACCAAGAAGGGAATCCCAAAGCAAACTAGCCGTCAATATGTAAACTGTGTCAAGACACCGTCATGTTTGTGTCGTTGAAAGGGACCACTTCCTATTTCGGTCTGATCTTGTTCCTCATGTCCCAGGTGCCCACATTGGCTGGCTTTGGAAGCACTGGACTTGGGAAAAACCAAGGAGCGGCTGCAAATCCGAGGACGCGTCCAATCAGCTGGAAGAGCAGTGATTGAAAGAACTGCAGTTTTCGACTGAAGCACCCAGTTCTTCAGAGGCACCTTTTTTTTGGTGGCCCACTATCACTGGCGACCCCCCCCCCCAAAAAAAAAAAGAAGAAAAGGGGCTCCCGACCGCAGTTCTTCAGAGGCACCAGTTTCCTTTTGGTGGCCCACTCAAAATGGTGAGCCCCCCCCAAAAGAAAGGGGCTCCCTTGTACAAGAGTCACTCGGCTAGACCTCAAGACCTCAAACGCTCTCGGAGGCCAAGGAGGAGGCCAAAGCGAAGGCAAGTGGCAAAAAAGAACCCGAAGTGATGGTTGAGGGACAGTCTTAACCACAAATGGGTGCGGAACAACCCGCCCTAATTCTTTGTATATATATGGTCTTATGGTCTTATGGTCTTGGGTGGGTTCGGAAAAACCCTCATGTGTGTAATTCTTTACGTGGTCTTGGGGTAGATCATTTTGATACCAGGCTCTGATTATCACCCATGTAAAGGCATGTGTTTGCCTCTGGCGAGCTTACCGATTCGGTGGTACGATCTCATCATGTCCTTCACCTGGCTTTCCAGTTCAGATTTAATTTCTTTGGAATTCGATTGCTCCGCGTTTGAACGCAGGTTCCAATTTGGGTGCTTCATTTACCGCTGAGTTCTTGCAGTTGACCGATTTCTGCGGGTCCTTGGGCTTGAAAACTCCTTAGCTGCTTGATGGGTCTGTGCGTGGGTACCTTTTTTGTGTGAGTTTAAGGGAAACAAAACCAACCATTGGGGTGCCCCGCTTTTTGAGACGCCCTGATGGAAAATGGGTTTGGGCACAGTGTTTCCGTCGGCTTCGAGGTGCAGCCTTGCTTTAGGGCCTTTGGGGGTTTGGTACCAATCTCTTGAAGGGCTGGGGTTTAAATAGTGAGGCCCAAGGCCCAACAATGCCACAAAATGCCAAATGGGTGTGAGTCAAACATCGGTACCTAAAATGGAGCCCTGGTAAATGGAAACATGGACTAAAACCTGCGGTCCCCTGGTGGTTTCATTTGGACCCATACCCAAATAATGACAAACAACACAAACACCGAGGCCAAATACAAGGCCCGATAAGGCCACGGGCTTCATCCGTTTGGCCGGGTCGAACATTTGGATCCATAGGCCGAAAACGATTCAGGCAAAGTGTGAGGCGGAGGTCAAGGCCAAGGAAGATGCGAAGAAGAAAGAGGCGGGCTTAGCATTGCGTGTGGGGCTGGCGCATGAAAACGGTTAAACCCAACCATTCGGCCATTCGGAGGGTAACCACAAAAGACATGGTAACACGGTTGGTTTCCTTTTCCCAGTGGATCCTTTTACCTGTATAGTAGGTAGCCAAGGGAAGCACCCTTCCAAAAACGAGAAGGCAAATTGCGAAGAAAAGGGTAACTGGGATCCACGGGGAAGAAACCCAACAATTCGGCCATTTGGAGGGTAATGACAAAAGACATCATGGTCTTCCCACGACCCTGACCCTGACCAGACTTGCGAGCGATTCCACTGGAGAGCACGTAAAGGTATTTGGGACTCCAACATTTCAGGTTTGTGAATTAGAGTATGCCCAGATGGCTGTGGGCAGTGGTGTTTTGTTGTTGTTGCCTTTTTTTGTGTGGGTGTCCATTTAGATCAGTTTGGTTGATAATTAATGAGTGATTACCAGCCATCTAATTTGTTTCCTAAGACCAAGGTCTGTGCTCCAGTACAATCCTGCTCAAAGTGCCAAAGTCAGCATGGGGATGGGAGTTGGAACTGAACCACTCTGTGATACCGAGCAGACGGGTAAATAGGAAACTCACCCGGGAACACCTCCACACCACCAATCCAAACCACGTGAGGGGAAGCTGAGCAGTGCCACAGCTTCGCCAAATGAAGCGTTTCCTTAGGATATTTTTAGTAAGTGGTATATAAGCTCCTTTTGAGCCCCATACCGTACGTGAAACTACCCTTGAGGCAAAAGAGTTGAGAGCATTGGCCTTCCGCTGGGTGGCTGCCTTTTGATGGGTTCTCGAAACTATTTTTGTGTCATGGTTGTTTCCCTTTGAACCACCATTTGGCTCCTGCAAATTGGAGGATGTGACTTTGGACCCATGCTACCCTCCCTCCAATCATGGAAGCTGACAGGAGTGTTTTGGAAGACACCTTGTTTTTGGGGAAGGCCTTTGTCTTGGTCCGGGAATGCAGGAATGACCCGCCATAAACCAGCCATGGCTTCCTTCAAGGGAATTCCCGGCTTCATTCCCGACACCCGGTCTCAGTCATTCCCACTCACCAGCAAGTTTTGGGGAGGTTTTTTGAGCATAGGGAATGACCCCTATAAACCAGCCATCCCCTATGGTTTCCTTTAAAGGAATTTCCTCATGGTTTCCTTGAAAGGAATTCCGCTATGGTTTCCTTTAAAGGAATTCCGCTATGGTTTCCTTTAAAGGAACCCCCTTCCGCTTCCAACCCGCCTCTGTCATTCCCGCTGCCACGTCCTTAGGAGGCGAAGGCCAGGGCCAAGGCCAAGGCGGAGGCCAAGGCCAAAGCCGAGCGGGCCAAAGCCAAGGCGTCGGCTTTCGGGGGTGACGACCACACGTTTCTTGGCAGATTACGTTGTTTTAGTGTTGTCTTGCTTTTTTTGAAGCTGGTTTAGTGTTTTTTTGTTTTTTTTTTTGAGTTGATTGGTTGTAGTTGTTTGTTTGTTTTGTTGGTTGAATGTTTAAAGTGTTTTATGTTTGAC